AACTGTGTATTCAGGCTCAGGTTTCAAGGCTGAAAATAGCAGCCTTCTCATTATTCTCTGCTATTATGCTTTAAAGTGGATGCTGCTGCAGCATCTGTGGAGTCTGGCGTATTCTCCTTCCTCATCACTGGACCATACTCTGCATACAAGTCAGTTATTGAGAGCATGAAACCGTCTGTTTGCTTGGTGGTGGAAAAACCTCGTGGTCACTGGTTTAAAGCAGACATCTGTACTCAGTCCACAGTAATTGCTTCTCAGATTTCTAAAGCTGCAATCTGTCTCTTCCTGTTCAAGTATAAACACATCCAGATTGGGTTGCAAGCTGGTTACCATGGTGATACCTGAAATGATTGCAGAAAATTAGGATGGCTGTTGAGGGTGTGTGAGGGTTAATTTTCTCCACTCATTAGTCAAAAAAGAAATTATTAGGTATTATTTCACACAGCTCCTTTTATTGGGCCCGCTGTCAGAAACCCGAAGAGATCAAGTTTAATTTGATTTGAAACTAAAGAAAAACAGCCTGATGTGACATTTGAGAAGCTTACCAGAGAATTTTGAGCATTTTCGTCTGAAAAATTCTTAACGCGACGAATTGCTGTCAGTTAACAAACCACTCTTACTAAATGTTGTCGCTCTCCAGTGGACGTCACCCTGAAGAAAAATGCTGACTGATCAAACATATAAAGCTGCTCAGTGTTGAGGAAACTGTGAGCTTAATTTATGAAATCTTTCATTCTTGACTGAAGTCTGAAAGTTAGGAATTAAACTACTGTGGGAGTTGGACTTCTTCTCCATGACGTGCCTCTTTCCCCAAATCGTACATTTATCCAGAAACTTGTGTGTTTCTCAGAAAAAAACTACATGAAGCCTTCTGAAGCTGTAATGCTGAAACTGTTACTTTGTCAAACCACAAAACCTTTTGATTTTCAGCCACTGAAAAGGACATGTTTATATGCTGCTCAGTGATCTTGAACTATGAAACTATGCCTTTGAATTCTTTATGTACAGTTTTTTTTCATTCCCTTTGTGTATTTTAGTTTGATTTTGTGATTCTCCTAATGAATGCTGTTGGTGTGATGTATTTTTTTTCCTCTTTTTGCTCCTAACTAACAAGCAACTTCTCACTGGTGCAATACTTGTTTTTGTCCTCTCTGTTAAAACAGCCAACAGCCATCACTGTCTCATGTTCACCACTGGTTCATCATTTGTAACTTATTTTTGGAGAATTGTGTGATTTCACTTGATCTCCTGCAGAGGGCAGTGTGCTCTGAACACAATGAATATGTTGCATATTGCAGCCGCCTCCTTCGAGTGGAAGATATGACTGAATACATTTTTTTTTTTTTTTTTTTTTTTAGCTATTTAGAGATTTTCTGTGCATTCCCCCTCTGCTGAAAGGTCACTTGTCCAATGTAATGATGAAAATACACCACAAACTTCCAATTTATATTTTTATATTATTTTGTACCAACTTGTAGTCTTGGATAATGTGACACTGAATGATGGAAGGAATCCTTTTATCACAGTGTGCCATGGAAAAAATAAACACACAATTGAACAGAGTATGTGAGGGCGTGTGTGTTTCTTCTGAGGATAGTAAACTCTGATGCCTGAAGCTTTTAGGGAAATTACTGTTTCCAGGACTGCAACGCTCCAGTCGCCTCAGAGGGAAGGACAATGCAAGCGCTCCAGTGATAAGCCCTGCAGGTTTACACACCGTTCTCCAGCTGTGACCACATGCTGTCAGTCCAGCTCTTCATTCATTCAAACAGGGTAGTACTCAAACAAACAAAAAGCTGCTGCTGGACTGTGACTAAGTACATTAAGTACTCACTTAAAATACAACTATTAGGTGCCGGTATCTGTGCTTCCAAAAACATCTTGATTACCATCCATTTGATCATTTTGAAGGCTTTATATGCTTCAGTACATTTAAGAAAAAGTTAACTTTCTGATAAACTCGCCTCATAAATCTTTATTTAATTTGACATATCAAACCTGCCTTCCTTTTGTCTATATTAATCTGCCCATCAGTAAAAAAAACATATTAAAACTAATTTGCGCATAAAACTACAAAGAATTTTGCTTTAAAATGAATGCATACATAATCAAAATCCATAAATGAATGCTGACAGGGACATTCTCAATTTATATTTTCTGATCAAACTATTCATGGAACTTGCATGTAGTCTTTTTCACAACTTCTTACTAAAAGATAAACACTTTATCTGTGTCTCACTCAAACACGCTTTGTGTTTGAAGTCAAATCACATAAGTCATTCACAAACGCACCATGGGCGGAAAAGCAATGCTACTTTTCTGAACACACACATCATCATTCATTCTGCATCAGACAAACAAATGCAGCCTCTTCTGCCTTTTAACTCCGCCTGCACATCCAGATAAAGCTTTCTGTGTTTTTGTCACAGATCTATTCAGTGCTGTGGATCTCTCTCACACAAGAGGCATTATATTCCTTTATAATAGTTACAAAACTATACATTTGAGTTAAGCTCTGTTCTCTCAGACACAAAACAATATTGACTTTATTTAAGAGCTGAAACGTTTTTATTCTTCCTGACAGAAGTCTGCATTAAACCATGTGATAGTGCGTCATCATACCACTTCACAGATCTTTAATAAGCATTAAGTTAAAATACAGATCCTTGGCACACAGATTAAAGAACTATTCATATTTGGCAGGCCTCTCATGCACACATTTACATGGTTTGTGAACTTTAAAAGAAATCTGTTGCATTAGTTAAGATTGGAAATGAAGGGGCTCTCTCCCCCCCCCCGAGATCGCCATGTTAAATTTCCCATGTGTAAATTTAGGTGGGGGAGTGCTCACTGCCGTCAGTGTGATAATGGATCATTCTCACAGTCTCCTGTAAGCTTTGTATGTGGGGCTGAAGAGGCGGGCTGCTGCTTCCTTTTATGTGGCCTCAAGGAAGAATTTGAAAAAAAAAGAAAGGGGGGGGGGGCTGCTCAACTTCTATTTGTGCTGCATGTCTTAGTTTATTCTCCTGAAACTTACATTACAAAATGCAATCAGCAAGGTCATGACTCTTAAATAATCTTTTTAAATTATTTAATTGTATTATATATATTATTGTTCTTACTGCTCTTTTATTTATTTGTATTTCCTGTGGTAGCTTTAACTCATTTTGTTTGTCATTTAGTTATGTTTTCTCAGCATCATTATACATGAGGGTCGCCCTCAATGATCTCTCTGAGAACTTAAATTAAGGTTGATGATGATTAAAAAGCTGCATAAGGGGAACTTTGATACTATTTGACGCGACAAACAGAATTTCTGCCGTGCAACAAGTGTAAAAGTATCAGATTCTCTGATGAGACAGCTCTCCGTTGTCTCTTTTTATACTGAAACACTTCATGTCAAATGCTCAGGATGAGCAGCTGAACGTCTTCATGACTTTATGTGAGGCAGAAAAATGTTTGGACGTAAGCAGTGATCAAGAACACAATGCAATAACTATTGTTTATTAATGATGCAGAGTGCCAACTGCAAACCAAGTTTAAGTTGGACATTTGCATCCCAAAGATGTAGCAGGACAGGTGAACAATTAACAGCTTCCAAATGTACATGTGCCCCATTCATGTGTGATTTCCTGTGTCTCTTCAGGAAACCAGTACGACCCAACGGTGCAATAGAAAACAAGAGTAGTGTGTCCCTCTGGTGTTTTATTGAGGAATTGGGGCGCCCCTTAGTGACAACAATGTAAAGGTGCAGCTCCTATTAGCCACATGAGAAAATACACAAAATATATGTCACTTGTATAGAAAGTTCTTTTAAAAATGGTGTTTACAGATGACTGATATACTTCTCAGTATCAACGACTTCATATCCATGGTTACAACTGTCTCTGGCGGCTGAATCAACCTGTTCTGAACTTTTAACAGACTTTGATCTCAGCACTTTTTGTTTTCTTCTGTTAAACCATATTTACTGTAATAAAAGTTATCAAGAACCTATAATAGTGATTCATTCCAGTTTGAAGTAAGCTAAAAAAAAAAAGAGGAGAGACTTGATATTTTATTTGTTTCTTCTTTGTAACAAATCCTTGAAAGATATTTTACTTTTAAAGCATTGGTTACATTTATTTGATCTTAAAAATTAAAGATACACATGCCAACGTTGGCTTGACACTTTGACTGAAGTGTCATTAATGTGCATTTAAAAAAATTATCTTTAATTGTTTTTTTAATCCTTATCACTGCTCTAATAGACAGGCTGAGTTTGTTCTACGTTTGTTCTCCATAGTGCTAAAATATGAAAACTACCCAACAAACTAAATGTTTGCTTCTCACTGCATCAACATTATAAACCTAAATAAATAACCAGAGAGCTTCTGAACACCAATGACACACTCTTAGTAAACGACAGTCGTATTGCATTGCATAAGTTTCTTCAGGTGTTACGGATGTTTTAGTCATGACAACATAACCTCCTAAGGCACAGCGCCCACATACCAAATATCAACCAAAGTATATTTTAGCTGAGGCGTGCATTTATTTCATGAGCATTTATTTTGTTGTGAAACAAAACACTAAGTTATTGCACAGAAATCCAGATCATATTTAGATGATTGTAAGTAAGCTTTTAGACCCACCTATTCTTTAAACTATGCACAACCCCCTCAGATTTAATAGCAGACAATAGTTCAAACTGCACCTCAGGGCAAATTTTTCAAGGTTTTGAGAAAACAACCTAAATAAAGCCATTATGACAGGATAACTTTGATTTAAAGAAATCAGGATTATTCTGATTCCAGCAGACAAACATCCAAAGTTTTTACAATGATTTAGATACTTTAGACATTTTGCTGAGCTCATGCAGTAATTTTTGGTTTATCATGTGGAAACAGTTGTACCTCTTATCATTTTTGAATTCCTCCTTTGCATATATGAATAGTGTTTTTTAAGTCTCAATCAGCTTTATTTTTACAGTCAAATGTATGACGCTCTGGGAAAATGACTGCAACTTGTTATAAATCACTTTATTTGAACATGGACATTAGCAGAGGCAAACATTTTATCATTGTAGAGATACAGTGTGTAGTATCATCACTTTTGTGAGATTAAAACACCAAAACTCAGTCTTCTGAAGCAAAGACTAGGTCCACTCTTCTCTTAACTGCACATGGTTACTTTGTTCTTCTTGCCTCAAACATATCAGGATGTGTTTTACCTATCAAAGCGTGTCTTGTCTTGCAGCTTTAGACCCTCCTGCTTATTCTTTTGAAAGTCACACCCTTCTCTCCTGGAGTTGTGCAATTCTAGAAGACGTGTTGAAAAAAGATTAAGAATAAAAAACACACAAACTATTCAGAATATTGATCAGATTTTAAAGTCCTAGTGAATACTTTCACCACACATGATATTGTTTCTTATCTTACCATTATCAATTTACCCTCAATGAGCTCTGCAGTGAAGTGGTACTTTGGAAATGGTACTGAAATCTTTCCACCATCCAGAGTGACAAGAGCCTACAAAGACAGAGGTCATAAAGGGGATGGCCAACAAGCCTGATCACATGAATTGGTCATGACACATTTGTGAAAATGTGCAAGATTTGCTATGGAACTTTTTTTCCCTTTGTCTTTTTATGAACTCACCCTGAATTTGTCTCCTTTCATCGTCTGCAGATCACACTCCTGACCGGCGATGAAGTTATTGCACCAAGTCCACCCGGGAAGGCTTTGTGTCCAGGTGAAGTTGTTCCCGTCCTGAACCACGTCTGTGATCACCTTTTGGTCAGTCTTGGCATTGAGTTGCCCTGTGAAGGAACAGGGAACACCCCAAACATGGAAAAACAACAAAATGTAAATGTATGAGAACTCACATTCATCCATTTATGCTTTCTGACTAACAAAATAATTCAAATACCAATAATTCCAAGAAACTCTTCATAGTTTTCTTGACTCTCCAGCTCATATTTCCCAGCGAAAGCCATGGTAGAGGAAGAGAGGAGATGTAGTGAGGAAGCGTGTACAAGACACATAAAAAAGAGGAGTGGCCTCCTACAGATACTCTCTCTGTTTTCAAAGGATCAGTTCTTCCTCCCCCCACCAAAACGTCAGATCCTCATGTGTGTGAAATGTCATCAGGTACTCTCAGAAAATTCTCTGCTCCTGTCTGTGTCAGGTTTTTCCTGCACTTTGCAAGTTCAAGAATGTGGGGTGTACTGCATTGGTCTAAATCAAATTCATGTTTTAAATACAGGTTTTTTTTTTTTACTTCAGCACTGATAAATATATTAAAACACGTTTAAATCCAGGTGACCAAACTAGTGATCGCATTAAATATTTGTTTCTTTTACTACTAATATCAGAGATGGATATATAACTGCCCAAGTCAAAGGCAACAGTTTATAAACATCCACACACAACAGTCATCAGTAATCAGTACTCACACTGGGGTACCACAAGGGTGCGTCTTCACACCCTGGTTGTTTCTCAGGGTGTATGCACAGAATATAAAGGATAGACTATAAAAGGCGTCACATGCTTTGTACCGTGGAGTATTCAGATGCTCAACTAGCTCTGATTATTAAGTCTTAACTTGGCACGCTGCACTTCATTGAACTTGCCAATTGACATTTCTTACATGGTCTTATGTGATACTTTGACGATGTAATTTAATGATTGATTCGCATATACTGTATTTTACTGTTATGTATGTTTGTTGATGTCGTGTCATTTCATTTTTTTATACTCTTGTTGCAGGGCAAATTCCATTTGGTGCAGTAAAGGATTCATGTATTCCTACTGACTAGAGAACTACTTAAAAAACACAGAAACAGCTTGCGCAACACACAACTCAATAAATGTAACCATACAAATATTGTGCTGCTTGAAAATGTGTAAAAATTTGTCAGACATTTCTGTAAGTCTTCAACTGAGCTGCAACAAATGGTAATTTCTATGATTGGTTATTCTGCCTAACCTTTTGGCTTTAACAGATTTAATGTTTAGCTCACAAAATGCAGGAAAAGAGAGAAATCATAATTAATGACAGCAGTCACTTACAGATCAGTTCATAGTTTCAGTTCTCATTCTAAACAGGACAATGGATTCAAAATAATAATAGATTAGAAGATATGATGTTAAGTGTCGTCTACACTGACAGATCGTCACACATGAAGTAAGCCTAACCTATGCCCCACACTGGCATGCATTGCCCTTTACCTGGTGCTATTTAATTATTTACTTAGACTCATTTACTTAAATTCTACTTGTTTTATGACTTTGTTTTATATCAAATGGAAGTTGAAAAAGACTTTTAAAGATTACCAAACTATAAAAACCCAGTCTCCATATAGGGAAGATATCCAAAGCTTTAAATGGGACAACAAGCTACATACTTCGTCCAGAGGAGGGACCAAAATCCAAGCAAATTGAAAGATTGTGATAGTTGTTGATTATTGAATATTAACAAATTTGGTGAAATATTTAAGAGTCACAAAATCCATCTTTTGTTCCACAACCAAAACAGAAACCTCCTCTTTATATATAAGGGTAGCAAATGAGCAATTCAAGAGCTAAATAATAAAGCAACAGGCCATCAGATAAAGTGATTTATAACAAGTTGCAGTCATTTTCCCAGAGCGTCATACATTTGACTGTAAAAATAAAGCTGATTGAGACTTAAAAAACACTATTCACATATGCAAAGGAGGAATTCAAAAATGATAAGAGGTACAACTGTTATCCACATGATAAACCAAAAATTACTGCATGAGCTCAGCAAAATGTCTAAAGTATCTAAAACTTTGGATGTTTGTTTTCTGCTGGAATCAGAATAATCCTGATTTCTTTAAATCAAAGTTATCCTGTCATAATGGCTTTATTTGGGTTGTTTTCTCAAGACCTTGAAAAATTTGCCCTGAGATGCAGTTTGAACTATTGTCTGCTATTAAATCTGAGGGGGTTGTGCATAGTTTAAAGAATAGGTGGGTCTAAAAGCTTACTTACAATGATGGGTTTATGCTTCTTTGTCGAGGTGATTCATTTGGTCTTTGATATTGGATTAGGAGCTGTGACTACTCTTAAAATGAAAAATGATATAATTAATGACTATGCATATGTTTTATGAAGGCTATAAATTCAAACGTGAAATTAAAGAGGAATAATTTTAATTTCAAATCACTCCACTACTTGTGTGAAAAGCCCTCGGTAAAGTGAACTCACAGCCACAGTTTCCATATCAACTCATTTTACCATTTTTAAAGCTCCTGTGTTTGTGTCAAAAGTGTTATGTCTTATCTCTTTGCTAAGTAAGCCCTATGAGGTGTAGGTTGTGTTTTTTTTCCCAAAAAAGATCTCATCCTGCTTTCTTTGATCAGTCAAATATATTACTTATCTACTAAGCCACACACAGGAAGAAGAAGGCCAGTGGCAGAATCCAGCAAAGTAACAACATCATGGCCACACATCTTGGAGACATTCAGGCTGAATATGCACAGGGCCGCACATTGCTATGTACCGCAAGTTTAAAATTGAGGACGTACAAAAGATGACATCCTGAAAGAGGTGTGCTCGACAGAAGCAGCACCCAAATTCTATTGTAGCGCAAATAACTGAAAGGCATCACCAACACAGCAAGCAGGACGTCTACCACTGCAAGAGAAAGGATAAAAGCATTCTTTGGTGAATGGAGGCTTTGATAATGTGTGACTGCAGCCATGATTAGGGGAATTCCAATGATTTTGAAGATGGGGATTGTTAGGAGAAAGCACATGACGCAGACTCTTCCAATGGTGCTTTGAAATGAAGCAGAATGGCTGCCATCAGCTGTCAGGTTGTTGTTGTCTGAGGTGTTGGTTCAGAGGCAATCAGCTGCACAATGATTCATTAAGTAGCCATGTGGTCCATCAAGAGGGATTGTGTTGCAAATGTAAACATAAACTTGTCCTTGTTCTTTCATCATGTGCAGCCGCATGACGTGGACATGTTTCTTTGTCAGTTTGTGTGTGTGTGCATAGGTCCTTATATCTATATAAGAAATACACTCTCACATTGATCTCTTTTCAGTGGATATTTCCTTCAATGACAGCCTAATGCTTGTTTTCTACGTCTTCCACTCTGAATGTGTTTTGTCTTTTATCATCTTGTTGACATTCACATCCATGATGAGGTGTAGTGGTGCACATCCAGAGTTACAGAGAGGAAGTCACTTTAGCATCATTCTATTTTTATTGTTGAGCATCACATTTCTAATATTGATATTCAGAACCTTTTGAACATCAAACATACAAAACGAAACGAGGATATCAAATGATTGTGCGCACAGCAGATAAACCAGGCAGGCGATACTTTTTTTTCCCCACAACATTTCATTAAGATATCAAGAAACGACAATGGAAAGGTGAACATTTCTTTTATCACACATTTTACACAGGAGTCCGGGCAGACATGGATTGAAAGGAGAGCTGTGTTTTTTTGTTGTTGTAAAATCAAAAGGCATGCACTGATGTCTGCGGTTTTATTAACCGTCTCAAGTCCTTACTGTCCATTAAAAAAAACAAAAACTCCCTGTATTTTAACCACAGGTACAGCAACATAGGACATAAAACCTCTGATACAGCAGCATAGTCAATACTTCTTCAGCTCACATTGACCACTATTGAAAACGACAATGCACTGACGGATGACTGATCATGGAACCATATACAGTGAATGCAGGAAATAGGTGAAATCCTTATCCACGCTCTGCTTGGGACTTCAACCCGTATAAGGAATGAGCATGTCAGACTTTGTCGTCAGGCAAATTGCTGTCTTTGTTGATCCCTGTTTTGTCTCTGTTATTCCTAAAGGAGAAAGAGAAAAAACTTCCAGTCGTCTCCTCAGCTGGTTGTCCTCCTCTTAACTCCCCTCTCAGAGCTCCGTGCTGGCATTCTGCAGGGCTACCGGGCAGCAGGTTCGGAGTCGAGAGAGTTGGGGATGTACCCCCCCAGATGTATAATGTTTCCCCCTCAGGGCAGGTTGGGAGACCATGGCTCAGGTAGCTGGGACTCGGACTGGCCGATGACGGCAGAGTACGCTGGCTGCCGTTTAAGCAGCTGGAGTTGTGATCCGCTGAGCCTTTGCGTGAATGTCCAGAGGAGCTGAAGTTGGAGGAGCGGTAGTTGTATGCTCTCCTTTTACGCTGATGACACTGGCATCTAAGGATCTGAATGAAGGCCAGCTTGAACTCGCGGTTGTAGCAGGGGTAGATGATGGGGTTTAGGCAGCTGTTGAAGTATCCCAGCCAGAAGATCACTTTGAAGAGGACATTAGATGGGCGCAGGTTGGAATTGAAAGACCCTGGTAACAGAAGAATGGAGACATTGAGACTTTACAGTGGGCAATGACAAAGAATCACTGTAATTAATTAATTTAATTAACCCATGAATATCCTAAAACCCTGTGACAGTCACTGCCTAATTGATTCTGTTTCTCTGATTCCTAGACTGGTCAAGTTTGGAGCACCTGGGCCTGTTGCTCTCAGGGCATAAAAGCCCAATCCCAGGGTGGCTCTCTTTCTCACATGTCACATGGACTCACATCCTCAACCATTGCACATTTTGGACATTGTTGCAGGGCTACTGAAGTGGAAATAACGTATAATTGGACATGAAAACACAAAACAAGAAAAAGACCCCAATACAGATGTGATGATGCCATACCTAAGTTTTCTTTTCTAAAGTGTATTATTATTGTATCATTTACTGACTGGAGACCTATTTGATATTGTTACTGCCTGTAGAAATGCCTGAAATGGCTGCAGATCTGTGTTTACTGGAAAATGTGTATTTTTTAATTATCAAACTTTGAAATGTCATGGATGAAGAAACAGTAACAGTAATGTAGATTACATTTAAGCCACATTAAGTCGATATGTGACTGTAGGTGTTGATCCTCTATTTGACTGTAGGTTAAACTTTCACCAGTAGGTGGTAGCATTGATCAAGAATAAAATAGTGCTTTTCACTCATTCCATGCAGACAGGAC